AAATATATATATATATATATATATTTGGGTGTAATTTTGGGGGGGCGGGAACCAATTAATTGGTTTTCCATTATTTCTTATCGGAAAAATTCGATCAGAACTCGAACTTTTTAGGATTCGATCCGGAGTCCGGAACGGATTAAGTTCGAGAACCGAGGTACCACTGTATTATGTTTTGATCTGTTTGTACAGGATGTCTACTACAGAGTAGGACAGTAGATACACATGTAGGATTGTTCCATCAAAGTTCATTACAAATTTGGACTTGATAGTAGATCCATTGTGAAGATTTAGATTGTTTCCCATGGTGAATGAGTGCCGCAAAACTGGTCTTGGTACAAGTGCGTGGGAGTGAGAGTATGTGAGCATCACAATGGACAGGGATTTCGTTTGGGCTGCACTGACTCACGCCGCAGGCCAGGTGAGCATCACAATGGACTGGGATTTCGTTTGGGCTGCACTGACTCACGATGCAGGCCAGGGTGAGCCTCACAATGGACTGGAGTTTTGTTTGGGCTGCACTGACTCGCCGCAGGTCGGGGTGAGCATCAGAACGGACTGGGGTTTCTTTGGGCTGCACTGACTCACGGCGCAGGCCAGGGTGAGCCTCACAATGGACTGGGGTTTTGTTTGGGCTGCACTTACTCACGCCGCAGGCCGGGGTGAGCATCACAATGGACTGGGGTTTCGTTTGGGCTGCACTGACTCATGCCACAGGAGAACTGACTTCTCTGTGCTGTCACTCCCTAAATGTGTCAACCTGCTTCCTATAGGTTATTATTAGACTTTGATAATCCTGCCATCCTTATTATCCCAAGATCTCATTTCTGTGACAAACCAGTAATCATCTGCTACAGGTGATTATGGGAGCCTGAAATGCCCATACCTCTGGTTAGAACAGGTTATGCTTAAACGCAGAAGAGCAAGCTGTTCTTGTACCGAATATCCATTAAAAACAGTATAGGGGACATGAGCACAGCCTGACACTCTGCAGAAGACACGAGGAATCGACGCTAAAAATAATCGCGCTCCGTGACACTTGCCTTACACTGGGCAGCCATCTGAGGCTGCAGGATTTACCGGCTTGGAAAGGAAGCACCGCACCCTCACAGATAGTTGGAGCTGCCAGACTTGGCATTTCGGGATGTAATGCAAAGAGGGGGAATGTAAAGGGGGGGCAGGGAGGCTGCTGTTTGTGGCCCTCGTGAGTTATTGAGTGCCATGAACAGCGAGTCACCCTCAGCCCACATTCCCGACAGCACAGGACCCCAGAGGGCGTGAGTCATGAGGGGGGAGTGAGGCAACAGGCAGCCAACTAAGGAGCAAGAAGGAGCCAACTGAGAACTGAGGGGCTTTTCCAGGGAGGGATTGCTGTACAAAAGCCACAGG